TCCAGCTCTGCACCTTGTTGTCTCGGATTCTCCAGCATCTGCAGTTCCTACTATCTCTGATTCAATTTTAACCCCACTGCGAAGCCTCTAAGGATGCCTAGCCTGAAGAAGTTACCCTCCTCCCTCCGGACAAACCCAGGGGATCTCTCTCCCACTGCAACTCTCTCGTAATCTCTTCGGCCTTGAAACTGCTCAACCATGTCCTGAAGCAAACCAGGTACTACAGCCATATCACCTTGCTCAGTACCTGCCTACGGAACCAGATCATCCCCAATGGACTACAGTCCACATTCAGGCCTTCCCAATTTGGCCCCAACCGTGACAATATCTACATTCATAGCATTGAGATCCTTCAGAAGCGTTTCTCCCTGCGACTCCTGAAACATTTCTGATGAAGGGTCTAGGCCCGAAACGTCAGCCTTTCTGCTCCTATGATGCTGCTTGGCCTGCTGTGTTCATCCAGCTCTGCACCTTGTTGTCTCGGATTCTCCAGCATCTGCAGTTCCTACTATCCCCAAATCTCCTGTCAGCCTCCTTTTTCTCAAGGACAGTCCCAGCCTCCTCAGTCCATTCTCACAGCTAAAGTTTCTCATTCCTGGAGCCAACCTTGCATATCATGCCTGCACTCGCTCCAATGTGTTTATATCTTCCCTCTAATATGGCGCCCATAACTGTATATAATACGCCAGCTGAGGCCTAACAAAAGAGAGGGGATGGCCAAGTGGTATTACCACTGGACTAATAATCCAAAAACTTAGCTGAAGTTCTGCGGTCCCAAGTTCAAATCCCACCACCACAGATGGTGGAATATGTTTTCGATACAGATATGGAATTAAGAGTTTGATGATGAACTTGATGAAAAAACTCTGCAGAGGACAGTATCCCATCACTAAGTCACCCTTTGTTTACACGTGCATAGTACTTGATACAGAGCCAGCTCTCAAAGTGAACTGAACCTCTGACACTCCTGTTGACTAGAGCTCCCTGACTGGACTACATTAACAGCCCCAATCAAGGAAGTCATTCTATGAGTCCAACCTGGCTGACCTCATTACAATCGATACACAAAACCACTTAGGTAATACAAGCAAACCTATTTAATGGCAACAGCTTTAGTGTATTTTATATTTTACCAAACGGTTTAGTAGGAGTTAGCCATTTAGAATTTATCGCTCTATTCAGTAACACAAGAGTAGTATTAATATACACTATGGTATGTTACAGTACGTACACCAGTTCCACCTGATCTTAATACATAACACAATGTTCTCTAGTAAACTGTTCAATAGCAGGATTTTAAATGAAGATATTAACCACGCCATGCCATGTGTTACAGAGTAGGTAGCATATATCTACGTGTGTGTTTTGTCACTGGCAAGCAATATTTTATGCCATATATATTTTGAATCAAAATGATAGATTGAAGTATTGTTAAATGGAATCAAGGGATCCATGGACACCCAAATTAAAATGCACTTATGGAGCAAAGGCAGAAGATTGGCACTAGGCCATGGTGCTCATTTGAAGAACTAGTGCAGGCCTGATGGGCCAAATGGCCACCTTCTGCACTGTAATAATTCAAACCATTTGAACCCAAAGTGGAAGGAAGTAAAGTTAGTAACAGGAATTTGAAAGGATGCTCAGAAGACAAGAGACAAAAAGGCAAGTGTTGAGTATGCTTCAAGAAGAATTGAGATAGTTATAACAAAGAGGGAGCAGCTTTGGTACAGCTATAAAGCACCCCGGTTAGACAATAATTGATGTTGAGTGTGGAAGGATAATATTAGATTCAGGAGGAATGCAACACAGGATTAATTATAGTCATACACCAATTTTCATCACTTCCAGGCATCTCAAAATAGTTTACAGTCACTAAAGCACCTTCTGAAGGCGACTCACTGGTTTTATGGAAAAAACAACTAGGAGTTGGTATGTACACAGCAAGGTCCCACAAACAACATTGTGATAACGACCAGATAACAGCAGTTTCTGGATGATCACCAAATCAGAGTTAGGTCATTGAGGAAAGTTGTTCAGAAATACTCCCTTCACAGAAAGTGTGGATCACACTATCATATTCAAACAACCAGAAAATGGTGGAAAAACTCAGCATGTCCGGCAGCATCAGTAGACAGGGAAACACAGCTAAGCTTTCAAGTCCAGTGAACCCTCATCAGAATGAAAATAGCTGGAGATTGTCTCTTAACTCCGCTCAACCTGTTCATCAAGAACTGTCAACGTTATATGAGTCACCTTAAATTTCTTTGCACCCCGATCCATTCTAACCTTTGTCCCTCCAAAGTTCCTGAACTCTGTGCTCTTAGATCCAACCCTGACATTGTAACCAAAGCTGCCAGCAAGGGTGGTGCTGTTGTCTGGCATTCTGACCTTCAGCTGTGAAGACTGAGCACCAGCTCTCACTCCGGACCATGATCCTGCAATGGAACATCAGGCTGTTGTGCCCCCAACCCATTGAATGGGTCAGGGGAGCGGATAATTTAAGATGACCGATGTAACATTGACAGTTCTCAATGGACAGCTCAAGTGCAGATTAAAGACTATTGCCAACTAACGTCATTTCACTGGGAATCCCACCTCCTTCCCCATAGCTTCATATCATATCGTCCCCCAACCCCATACAACCCACTTCTACCCGCTTCCCAAAATCAAACAGGACTGCCCAGCAGACCCATTGTTTCAGTCTATTCTTGCCCCACTGAACTTATTTCTTCCTCCTTTGACTTGAATGTGTCTCCCCTCATCTGGGCCCTTCCCACATATCTGCGAACCTTCTAATACTTTATGTTGGTTCCAAAATTTTGACATTGCTGGTACCAGCCATCTCCTCTTCTTCATGGATGTGCATTCCCTCTACAAACCCCCATCAGGACGGTCTGAGGGTTCTCACTTCTTCCTTGACACTAGGCTTGAACAGTCTTATCCACTGCCACCATCCTCTGCCTGGCTGATCTCATCCTCATTTTGAGCAACTTCTCCTTTAACATCTCTCACTTTTCCTTCAGGTAAAGAGGTGGACGTGGGTATCTGCCTGTATCTTGTGGGGTTCAATGAACATTCCTTGTTCCAGTCCTACTCAGGCTCCCACTCACAACAATTTCTCTGGTATATTAATGGCGTCATCAGCACTGCTTCCCTAATTTATCAATTTTACTTCCAATTTCAACCCCACTCATGCCTTCACCTGATCAATTTCATGCCTTCCTTCCCTTCCTCATCAGTTTCCATTACTGCGGACAGACTGGCCACTGATATCCATTACAAACCCACCAACTCCCAGTCATCTTGTGACTACTAACTCACACCTCAACATCATGTAAGGACTCCATTCCATTCTCCTCGTTTCTCTGTCTGTTGCATCTATTCTGATGATCCCATTTTCTGCAGGTGCCAGAGTTACAAAGTCAGAGTCATACAGTATGAAAACAGACCCTTCGGTCCAACCAGTCCATGACGAACATAATCCCAAACTAAACTAGTCCCTCCTGCCTGCTCCTCCCCATATCCCTCAAACTTTTCCTATTTGTGTCCTCAGAAATGTCCACCTTTTTCTTCAAAAAAGGATTTCTTGCTACCATGGGCATTCAGCTGTATTTGAACCAATTGCCACACTTCTGTCCTCACCCCTCTCTTCCCTCCCACAATGATTGATTCCCTGGTTCTAACAATTTCGCCTCACCAGCATCCGCATCCAAGTACAAGTTGCATTTCCGTCATCTCCAGCAGGGCACCACCACCAAACGCTCCCCTTTCTTGTCAACATTCCACAGGGACTGTGCCATCCTGGGCACCCTGGTCCATTCCTGTTCAACGGCACCTTCCCATGCAATCACAGAAGGGGTAATATTTGCCCATTTACCCCCTCCCTCATCATCATCCAAGGTCCCAGACACACCTTTCCAGGTGAAGCAGCAATTTACCTGCACTTCACTCAATCTAGTCTACTGTATTCACTGCTCAGAACATGGTCTGTTCTAGATTAGGGAGACAAAATGCAGGCTGGGTGACTCCTTTGTGGAACATCTATGCTCTGTAAAAATAACCTCAAGCTTCCAACTGCCGGCTACTTCAACACACCACGATGTTCTCATACCAACATTTCTGGCTCAGGTCTACTGTATTTGTACTTGTGCTCAAGTGAGGCTCAGTATAAGCTGGAGGAACAACACCTCATCTTCCGTCTAGGTACTTCAAGGTATTCAGGACTCAATATTGACATAAAGCTGGGCCTCCTGGGCCAGAGGCACGTACAGTACCCAGTGTGCCCCTCCAAACATAAACACCCTCTTCTTTGTTCATCAACTTTTCCCAAACTGCTGGGTTCTGTTACGTATAGGCTGGGCCCAGCACAACCAACCAATTTTCACCCATTTACACTGCTTGTCAGCACCCTCCTAGCAATTATCTCTCCTTCAGTTTGTCATCAGCAATCTAATATTTGCCTTTTTTTTGCGCTCCACGTACTCTACACTATTCCCTCCCAAACCCCATCATCAACGTAACTATCACCCTTTCCCAGGTATTTTCAGTTCCAATGAAGGGTCACTGGACTTTGAACTGTTCACTGTGTTTCTCTCCCTACAGATGCTGCCAAACCTGCTGAGTTTCTACAGCATGTGTGTTTCAGACAACATCTGCAGTTCATTTTAAAATCTTGTTACATTTATGCTAATCAAAACTGCAGAAGGGATACGGTACCACGATAGGTCGATGACAGGATACGGATCAGCCATGGTCTGATGGAGCTCTAGGGGGTAAAGCCTCTCCTCTAATTCTATGTTTCTCACAGCCAGTTCATAAATTCAAATATTCACATTTACTATCCTGGTCATTAGGCAGTAGACTATCTATTATATTGGTTTACGTGTTCGGTAGCTGTCAGCCAGTGCAGCACAACCTGCATGTTTACAAGCTCACATCTGGCTAGGCAGTAGCATATTCTACATATTGTATAGTCTCTCGCACATACTCAATAGGTTTACCTGTTCAGTAGCAGTCGGGCAGTACACCATGAGGATGAGTGTAGTGCAGACATTGAGAGCCAGGCCGGTAATGGTGATGAGATTAGGAGCCACCCAGAGCGGGAGGCGGCGGACCAGCCACTCCCACCAGGCCTGCATGAGGGGCTCAAGGAGCGAGGAGCCGGCGCTCCGGTACCGGTGCTCCTCCAGGCGCTTCAGCTGCTGCCGGCTCAGGGGCTGCTGGAACAGCGAGTTCAGGCCCAGGCCCGAGCTAGGGCCGGGACTTCGGCTGCTGCCCATCCCTGTGCTCCCGCGGCTGGGCCGGTGGGCGGTAGACAGCGGGCGGTTCATGGCCGGCCCTGGGTGCACCTCCCCCACATCAGTCCGCCGCGCCGGGCGCCGCTCTGTGTTCATGGAGCCCGTGCTCGGTCCGTCAGAGCCCGGCCCGAACCGGCTTTCCCCGGGGCCTCGAGTCAGGGTTTCCCCTGCCTATCCCACACCCTCGGGCCGACTCTCCCCGCTCCGCTTCCGCTCCCTCTCTCTCTCTCCGGGCCAACTCTCCCAGCTCCGCTCCCTCTCCCCGGGCCGAGGCCTGACTCCGGTTTCGCCGTTTCCCTGGACACTGCCACCACTGACCCGGAAACACTTGAAGGTCGACCCGGAACTGACGCGCTAAAGGTCAGGACACACCTCCGGGGGCAGAGTCTCTTTAGGCCGGGCCTCCTGGGCCAGAGGCATGTACATTACCCAGTGTGCCCCCCCCCCCCCAACAAAAAAAAACTTATACTGAAAGTGTGGGGGGAGCAGGATCAGGGACTGGTGTGGGGGTGGCGACTGGGAATGGTATCAGGGACTGGGGAGAGGGCCAGGGATTGGGGAGAGGGTCAGAGATTGAGAGAGGGCCAGGGACTGGGGAGAGGGTCAGGGATTGAGAGAGGGCCAGGGACTGGGGAGAGGGTCAGGGATTGGGAAATGAGCCGGTCTGGGTCAGGGAACATGTTCAAGGTCTGAGGAGTCAGGGACTGAGGAAGAGGTCAGGGAATGGTGTCAGGGATTGGGTAAGCTGTCGGGTTTTGGTATTGGGTCAGGGACTGGGTAAGGGGTCAGAGACTGGGGTGCAAGTCAGGGACTGGGGAGGGGGTCAGGAGCTGAGGGATGGTGTCGGAGACTGGTGAATTATGTCAGGGACTAAGGATTCAGGAACAGGGATGTTAGGGTTTAGGGAGGCAGATGGAATCAGAGACTAGGGAGGGGATCAGGTTTTGGTAGTAGGTCACGGAGTGGGTAAGGGATCAGAGACTGGGAAGCATGTTAGGAACAGGGCAGGGAATCAGGTAATGGGAATTGGGTCAGTGATTGAGGAGGGCATCCGGGACTGGTGAATGGTGTCAGGGACTTGGGAGGTGGTCAGGGACTGGGATTGAGATCAGTAATTGGGGGCGGTGGGCTCAGGGACCAGGAATATCAAGACATGGTTTGGGGTCAGGAACCGGGACGAGTGTCAAGGTCTGGGAAATGTTGTCAGAGTGGTGAGTGAAGTAAGGGACTGAGGAGTCAGGAACTGGGGAGTTATGGATTATGGAGGAGGTCAGGGTTTGGGAGTTCGGGGATGGGGTCAGATATTGGCGTGGGGATTGGTGACGGAAGGGTCAGAAGTTAAGGAGGGGGTCAAGGCCTGGGGGATCGGGTCAGGGCCTGAGGAATGGGGTCAGGAACTGGGTGGGAATCAGGGACTGGGAAGTGGTCAGGATTGGGCCAGGTCAGTCACTGGTGAGGCAGAATTGGTTAGCTAATGAGGGGAAGGGAACAGGAATAAATTGGCCATTTTTGTATTGGCAAAACAACTAGTGGAGTGCCTTAGGAATCAGTGTTGAGGTTTCAACTATCCATCAATGATTGTATGAAGACACAGAATGTATGTTTGCTACATTTGCTGAAGACAAAGATAGGTAGGTAAATAAATTGTCAAGAGGACATAAAGAGTCTATTTGAATCTGTTATAAGAATTGAGAAAAAATCAACCGCAGTTTTAGTTTGAATATATGCACTTGCCGATTTGACAGAAAGAATAATTGCATAGCTTGTTATTTTAAATGGACAGGATTTGCAAAACTATGAGGAACAGAGGGATATAGTTATCATGGTACATGAATCACAAGACAGGTACAGTAAGAGATTCTGAATAGAAATGGAATGTTGACCTTGATTGCAACGGAATTGAATGTAAAATTAGGGGGCTGTTGCTACGGTTGTGTAGAGCCTTTATGAAGCCATACTGTGCAACTTTTGGTCTTTTTATTTGCAATGGAAACAGTTCAGAGAATATTCATTGAACTGATTCCTTGGAGAGAGGATTATTTTAGGAGGAAATGTTGAACAGGATCAGCCTATACTCATTGGAATTTAGCAGAATGAGAGATGATCTTATTGAAACATAACGTTGTGTGGGGTTTGACAGTCTAGATCTAGGGAACTCAGTTTAAAAAGCTGGGCTTCCACTGCTTAAGACTGAGGACTGAGATGAGGAATCCCAACCCCCCCCCATGCCCCTGGACTTTTTGGTCTGTGGAATTCTCTTCTACGGAGACTGTGAAAATAATGTCATTGAATATTTTAAAGGATGCGTTGAACAAGTTTTTGATTGACAAATGAGTCAAGGGTTATGGAGGACAGACAAGAAAGTGAAATTAAGGCCACAATCAGGTCAACCATGATCTTTGTGATGAACAGAGCAATGTTCAAAGGGCTGAATAGCCTTGTGCTGTTTCTAGTTCTTGTTTTATGTGTAAACAAGGTTTTGCAGATTTCTGGGGGTTATTATGATTGTTGTGTTAGTAACTGCAGGTATGACCTCCATGGAGAATTGTACCCAGTGAAAAATTAATTTACTGAATGAACCCTAAAAGATTAAATTACCAACAAGATTCCATTTTTGTTGCTTTTCCTTGATACAATTCAAATTGAACATGAATGAACAGTGTGTCCTCAGTGGTCTGTGAACTAAAAGTTTGAATAAGCTTGCATATAGCCCACTTTTAGTTTTTGAGTGGGTTATAGTATAAAAATAACCAAAAGCAAAGATTTAGTCACGAACAAATAAAGGTCATTATAAAACTACAGCTGTAGATTATAAAACCAAGATATTCGATCCGTCAAGTCTTCTCTATCATTAAATGAGATCATGGCTGATTTGATAATCTTCAACTTCACGTTAGAACATAGAACTATACAGCACAGTACAGGCCCTTCAGCCCAGATGTTGTGCCGAACTTTTACCCTAAACCTAAGGTCTATCTAACCTCCACCCCTACCTTATACTATTATCCATATGCCTATCTAATAGCTGCTTAAATCCCCCTAATGAGGCCGACTCCACTACCCTCTCCAGCAATGCATTCCATGCCCCTACCACTCTCTGAGTAAAGAACCTACCTCTGACGTCTCCCCTATATCTACCTCCACTCACTTTAAAACTATGCCCCCTCATAATAGCTACCTCCACCCTAGGAAAAAGTCTTTGGCTGTCCACTCTATCTATACCTCTGATCATTTTGTACACCTCTATCAAGTCACCTCTCATCCTTTGTCATTCTAAAGAGAAAAGCCCTGGCTCTCTCAACCTTTCCTCGTAAGACCTTCCCTCCATTCCAGGCAACATCCTGGTAAATCTCCTCTGCACCTTTCCAACGCTTCCACATCTTTCCTGTAATGAGGCGACCAGAACTGGACACAATACTCCAGATTCGATACGAATCAGGGTTTCGTATCGCTGGAGCATAACTTCACGGCTCTTGAACTCAATCCTTCTATTAATGAAAGCTAACACACCATACGCCTTCTTAACAACTCTATCCACCTGGGTTGCAGCTTTCAGGGAACTGTGGACATGAACCCCGAGATCCCTCTGCTCCTCCACACTGCCAAAAGTCTTTCCGTTAACCCTGTATTCTGCTTTCAAATTTTGTCCTTCCAAAATGAATCACCTCACACTTTTCAGGGTTAAACTCCATCTGCCACTTCTCAGCCCAGCTCTGCATCCTATCAATGTCCCTTTGTAACCTAGAACAGCCCTCCGCACTATCCACAACTCGACCCACCTTCGTATCGTCTGTGAACTTACTAATCCACCCTTCCACTCCTACATCCAAATCATTTACAAAAATCACAAGTAGAAGAGGACCCAGAACAGATCCTTGTGGTACACCACTCGTAACTGAGCACCATGTTGAATATTTTCCGTCCACTACCATCCTTTGTCTTCTAAGGGTCAGCCAGTTCTGAATCCAATCTGCCACATTTCCCCCTATCCCATGCTTCCTTACCTTCTGCATGAGCCTACCACGGAGAACCTTATCAAATGCCTTACTTAAATCCATGTATACCACATCCACTGCTCTACCTTCATCCACGTGTTTGGTCACCTCTTCAAAGAATTCAATAAGGTTTGTGAGGCATGATCTACCCCTCACAAATCCATGCTGACTATCACGAATCAAACTGTGCCTTTCCAAGTGACCATAAATCCTATCTCTCAGAGCCCTTTCCAATAATTTGCCCACCACTGAAGTAAGACTAACTGGCCTGTAATTTCCGGGGTTATCCCTATTCCCTTTTTTTGAACAAGGGAATGACGTTTGCAACTCTCCAATCTTCCGGCACTATACCTGTGGACAGTGAGGACAAAAAGATCATCGTCAAAAGCCTTGTGATCGCTTCCCTCGCTTCCCTGCCTTTTACCCATAACCTTTGGTTTCCCTTACTGAAATAACTGCACAGATGCCAGTACCCTGTCACCAGGTCACCCTTTATTTATGTGTGCACAGTACATGGCCCCTTAACTGCCAGCTCAAAACCAGTCCACAGACTGAGGAGATAGTAAGAACTGCTGATGCTGGAGCCAGAGATAACACAGTGTGGAGCTAGAGGAACACAGCAGGCCAGGCAGCATCAGAGGAGCAAGAAAGCTGACGTTTTGGGTCGGGACCCTTCTTCAGAAATGGGCCATTTCACATACTGAGGAGCCCTTTTGAATCTCCTACTTATATCTGTCAGCCAAGGCTCCCTGATTTTCCCAAGTTAATAATCCCAAGCAGGGAACTCATAGTCAGTGGGATCCACCTGGCCCTGGTTCCAATCACTACACTTACTGATTATAAACCTGTCTATCTCATCCACTACAGCCCTCTGTGTTAAAAAAAAATTCATAGATTCACTGCAGTTTGAAACAAGAAATTCCTCCTCATCTGTCTTATATGGGCAACCCTTTACTCAGATTATGCCCTCTGGGTCCTAGATGCTCACAGAAGGGAAATAACATTACAAGTCACTTAAGAATCTTTTACCAATATATTTTTCCTTGCAGAAGGGGCCCAACATGTTCACAGTTCTGATGAAGAGTTACCAGACTTGGAATGTTAACTCTGCTTTCTCCACAGATGCTGCCAGACCTGCTGAGTTTCGCTAACAGTTTCTGGTTTTGCCACAGTATTCCAACTGCGGTCTGACTAGTGCCGTGTGTAATTTTAATAAGGCCGTCCTATTTTTATCCTTTGAAATAAAAGCCTGCATTGCATAAGACCATAAGATATAAGAGCAGAATTAGGCCATTTGGCCCATTGAGTCTGCATTGCCATTCAAAAATGCTAATATGTTTCCCAACCCCATTCTCCTGCCTTCTACTGTAACTCTT